TTCCCTCCCACCCCCCCCGCCCCAGGCTGTTTCTAAGCTGCCCCCTCTCTTGCACATATTTTGAGAAGCCTTCTAACCTAAATAGTCTGCAACCTGCCCAGCCTTTCAGACCAGCACTTCTCAAACTTGAACCTGCACAGGAATCGCCTGGGGACCGTTCGTGCTAAACTGCAGATTTGCTCAGGCAGGCGTGGAGTGGGCCCAGGACTCCGCGTGTCCGGTCGGTTCATGGGTGACGCTCGCGCTGCTGGCCGACGGGCCACACTGCAGTAACCAGACCCTAGAACTTTCTTCCTAAACTTTCCGAACCCTCTGAACATTCTAGAATCATCACAACATCCTTAAACATTCTCGCTTCTCTGAGCGGCCCCTCCTCCCTCTCTCACTCTCGCTTGCACCCCCACCTGTGCAGCTGCTTGCTCTTCCATCATTCATCCAACCTCACGAGTGCTCACTTGGTGCCAGGCCCCGGGAATGCTGGGGCGGGTCAGACGCAGACCCTGAGCTCGGTGGGCACACAGCCCAGCCCAGGGGGAAATGGAGGGTTCTGGGACCTGACTCGGAGAAACGCTGGTGCTCTTGTCACAGAAGTCTGGGCTCCGGGCACTCAGACACCGTGGCCCCTCATCACCCGTGGTCCCCAAGGCTGGTGGGACAGGGCCCCCGAGATGGGGTATTCCCAGCCTCCTCTCATTCCCGCTTCATGCCTGTCATCAAAGCAGCCTCCAGCCCCCTAGCTCCCCATACAGCTGTACGGGCACCTGCAAGGACTCCCCTCCTCCTCACAGCACCCTCCCTGTCTCCTTTGGGGCTCAGCCACAACTGCGCTCAGCCCCGCCTCTACCTAGGCACCTGGCCTTGGTTCTCCCCAGTTCCCCAGCCCGTCAGACCTTGCTGTCTGTCCCCAGGTGCTGTCTGACCCTCCTTGTCCCCTCTTGCCGTCCCAGTGTCCCCGCTCCCAGAGTGTTAAGGTGCTGAGACCCAGTCTCCCCTGGCCTGGTGCTGCCTTTGGAGATGCCAGGGCAGGGGCGCCAGGCTTTGGACCCTCAGCAGGCCTGAGGAACTGAAGCGGGTAACGTTCAGGTCAGTCAGGGGGACCCTCCCTCCTCTGAGCCATGATGCCGAGAGAGGCCCAGGCCAAGTAAGGGGCACCAGGCTTCCTGCCCCTTCTCCCCTCCCCGGTGGGGCAGCCTGGTGCCCCCCAGCCTTCCTCTCCCCGTCCAGGTGGCCTGACCCTCTCCCCGGGAGGCGGCCTTCAGTCTTGGTGCTTACGCAGACTCTGGGGGTGGTCTCTGGTGCTCACTTACAGCCAAGGGGCCACCTGGTGGCTGCATGGCTGGGGATGGCAGCAGAGCCTGACTGTGCGCAGGCCGGGGCACAGCCACTCCCAGCCTCCTGCCCCTGCCCCCTTGTCCAGCGTGATTAAAGGTGCGAGTCTTCTTGGCAGTTCAGCCTGGTTCTTTCTGCTCAGCGCCCTCGGAAGACCCAGGGGACCCATATCCAGGGAGACTGAGGCTCCCCACCCGCAAAGAACCCAGCCCCTCGCTCACTCAGGCAGCCGGTCTGCTCTGGAGTTAGCGGGACCGCCTCAGAGTCTGCTGTGCGACACCCTGGCTGTGGCCTCGGGAAGTCCCACTCCCCTGAGCCTCAGTTTCCTTGTCTGTGAAATGGGGATGATGATAAGCTACCTCATGAGGCGCCATCAGGACTAGAAGAGAGGTTGCCTGGTGAGCGAGGGCCGAGTTCATCCTCTGAACCACTCCTATTGAGCACCTACTGTGTGCTGGGTGCCCCACCAGGCACCGAGGCTGCAGGGAGGAGCACGCCCATCCCTTCCCTTGGAGAACACCGATGGAGTCTGTTCTGGTCAGTGCTGAACGAGCCCAGGCCCTCACCTGGGGGTTTGGTCTCGTGTTTTATGTTTAATATTGACGAGAGAACGGCTGGGTGGTCTCTGGAGGAAACCACACACCACCAGGACACTGGCTGACTTTCTAGCTAGAAAGTGGCTCCTCACGATGTACTTAAAGTCGTCCACATGGACTCCGCTGGCCGAGCTGAGTGGGGCACCCTGCGCTGCGTGGGTGGCTGTCGCTGTGTTTGGTGGCTTTCTGGGCAACATGCAGAAGAACATTCTATAAAGGATGAACCGCCAAACTGCCCAGGACCGGCAGGCGGGTGCCGGTCGCCGAGGCAGCAAAGCTTCAGAAACTTCTTGCCGAGCAGGGGAATTGCAGTTTGTCCTGTGCATATGAGGGCCAAAGGCCCTGGCATTTCCAGGCCACTTCGCTCAGGGCTCCCCGAGATGGACTGTGTCACCCAACCCACTGCAAGCACTTCCTCCATCCCCGGATCAGAGGCGGTCCCTGGACTGTCTGGGCCAGTTCCCCCCATGGGATCCCAGTTCCTGACCTGGTGGCAGGGCCTGGATGGGTGGGCAGAGCCCCTAGAGCAGCGGTTCTCAACCTGTGGGTCGCGACCCCTTCGGCAGTTGAATGGCCCTTTCCCAGGGGTCGCCTAAGACCATCCTGCATATCAGATATTTACATGATGATTCATACCAGTAGCAACATGACAGTTATGAAGTAGCAACGAAAATAATTTTATGGTTGGGTCACAACATGAGGAACTGTATTTAAAGGGCCAGAAGGTTGAGAACGGCTGCCCTAGAGCTTTGTGATGGAGACTCCCCCATAGGCAAGGTTTGGACAGGGCCTGGGCAAGCGCCCTGGGAAACTGGAGGCCCGAACCTGCTGCCAGGTCTGTGGGGACGCGTCCCCTGGGAGTGCTGCACTGTTTAGTCCTGCCGACTCCCGCGAGCTGGCGAATTGCCCGCATAACCACATCCCCACCCTGACGCCATCCCTTCACTGACGCAAATGACATTCTTTCTCTGAAATGTTAGGCAACAAGAAAGGGGAGGCTGAGGAGGGCCGGGAGGAGAATGGGAGTCAGGGACCTCGTCTTGCTGCCCCAGCGTTAGTCCATTGGTCCTAATTGGGGTTTGAAAACACAGTCATGAATACAGCCTCAAACACCCCCACACCTTCCATGGGGCAAAAGAGCACACCGTTCAATCCGAGGCAACACATAAGGCTGGTGATGGGTCCAGAGAGGCCAGACGAGTGGCCCTGCCCCCTCCACGCCTCGAGTCATCCGGCTTGGCCATTGCTTGGTTGGGTGGCCTGGGCCAAATGCAGAAACTATGGAGGGGGCCAGAGCAGTTGGACAGTTATCTGAGTGGAAACGGGCAGAGCAGGTGTCACGTCCTGGTGGCTGCGGCCGGGATGGGTGGGCTAGACCTGCCACGTGGGGATACGGGAAAGAGAGGGGAATTCTGAAGAGGTTAGCCAGGGGAAGCTGCTTAGTGGAGGGGACATTTAAGCAGGGCCTTGGAGCCCTAGCTGGTTTGGCTCAGTGGATAGAGCGTCGGCCTGCGGGCTGAAGGGTCCTGGGTTCGATTCCGGTCAAGGGCACATGCCCAGGTTGCGGGCTCGATCCCCAGTGGAGGGCGTGCAGGAGGCAGCCGATCAATGATTCTCTCTCATCATTGATGTTTCTATCTCTCTCTCTCCTTCTCCTTTCCTCTCTGAAATCAGTAAAAATATATTTAAAAAATTAAAAAAGAAAAGAAGGGCCTTGGAGGATGAATGAGGGTTTGAAAGGCCCACGTTATGGGGACAGGAAACGGGATGAATGACTGGAGGTGGGACCGTCTATGCTCCGGACAGTGGGACAGACCATATGCTAGAGCAGGGGTGGGCAAACTTTTTGACTCGAGGGCCACAATGGGTTCTTAAACTGGACGGGAGGGCCGGAACAAAAGCATGGATGGAGTGTTTGTGTGAACTAATATAAATTCAAAGTAAACATCATTACATAAAAGGGTACGGTCTTTTTTTTTTTTTAGTTTTATTCATTTCAAACGGGCCGGATCCGGCCTGCGGGCCGTAGTTTGCCCATGGCTGTGCTAGAGAAATGTTTGGAAAGGAGGGGTGGGGGAGGAGACGGGATTGGAGACTGGACAGGTAGGGGCCAAGGTGTGAAAGGCCCTAAATGTCAGGCTAAGTCTGGGCTGGACCTCCCAGGTGCTGGGGAGCAGCTGGCGGGATCTGAGCAGTGCAGTCACTGGCTAGAGCTGGCGTCAGAGGCAGGTCACTGGTGGAGCATGGATTGCAGAGGGCGGGGCTGGGGACAGTTAGGGGCTGTGCCGTGGTCTAGGGGAGGACCCAGGACAATGCCTGGAAACGAGTGAATTGTGACCGTCATCGGGGGGAGAGGGCTGTGTCCCCACTGGACTTTAAAGAAGGCAGGAGGCCTCCTAGCAGAGGGGTGGGAAGAGAGAGCAGGTGGGGTCCCGCTCTGGCAAAGGGTCTACCAGGAGCAGGCCCGGGGCAGGAGGTGGGCTCGGATGGACTGGAGGCATGGAGGGTGCTGGGTAACTTGTCTGGCCTCTCCGGACCCATCACTGTCCTTATCTGTTGCATCAGCCTTAAAATGTGTGCTCCTGTGCCCCACTGATGCCTTTGGGGGACTTGAGGCTCTATCCATGACTATATTTTCAGAACCCCAAATTAGACCTACGGACTAACCCTGGGGCAGAAAACATGAAATTACTGCGGATTGTTCCGGAAAATATGAAGTGCATGCGCCAGGGGCTTGAAACATGTTCAGAGAAGCTCAAATTTCAGTGTGTGGGCTCTGGAGCCAGCCCAGGGCCTTCTGATCCCAGGCTCACGTTTTCTCCACACAGCTCCTGGCTCAGAACAGACATCATTTCCCGTGTGTGCGACCTGGGCTTGTCACCTCCTCCCTGCGAGGCTCGGTTTTGTCCAGAGCGGGGTGTCTAGTGCGTGCTTGGGGGCGGCACGTGGCGGGTGTGGGGTGAACAGCTCCCGCTGAGCGGTGGCGGCAGAGGAGCCGCGGGAAGCGAGATCAGTGTTGACATCATGCACCGCTCTCTTCGGCTCCCCTCCCCCTGCCAGCTCCGCGGGCTCCTCCCAGTAGCCACATGCTGCCACGTGTGCATCTGGAGGACGGGAAAACGTAGGCAGACACGCCACACGACCAGAAACAGATGGCAAGAACATTATGGGAGGGGCCAAGCAGGGAGAGCCGGGGCCTGCGAGCCAGAGAGGAAGAAGGGATTTCCATGACACGAGTCAAGAGTGAGCAGGGCCAAGGCCGGATGGCTGGGCGCCCCTGGCCTGCAAACCCAGCAGGTCGGGAGGCTGGGTGGCCAGGAAACCCCACCAGGGGTGTGGGGCAGCGGCAGGAGAGGGTGTGAAGTTGCAGCCTGGAGGTTGTGGTGTGGGCTGGAGGAGGTAGTAATTAGGGTCCAGGAAGAAGCGGGGGACCCTCTGCAGGGGAGCAGCAGGGTGGGAAGGGGTGCGGGCCCACCTTCAGCTGCTGCCGGCCTCTCGGCACTGGAGGTAACAAATCGACGTCACAAACTCAGCCGCACACGGACTAGAACTTGTTTTATGTCTCCATGGCTGAACTTAATTTCCATCAGGCACTTCCTTCCTGCCGAAGCCAAAGAAACGCGCTTTGGCCAGCTGGGGTGGCCCTGCACGCTCTCAGGGCCGCGGCTGACTTTGTCCATGTCCCGTGTCCCGTCTGCTCCAGGCTCCTGGCGCCGCCCACACGCCAGCCTCCCGGGCCCTCAGGCCTCTGGGGGCATCCAGGTTCTCTCTGCACAGGCGCTTACAGATCTGTCCCTCATCTGCCTGGACACACCATGTGGCCATTTCTGCCTCGGGGTGTCAGCTGCCTCCTGGGGTTCTGCCTGGGGAGAGAGGATGGCCCCTCAGATGCCCTAAACCTGCTGGGGGTCTTCTCTGCACCCTCTTTACCAGGCTCATCTGGGGTGCACGGGCTGGGATCTCTGGCTCTACTGTGGCATTCCTTGCTTCCCCT